AGTCCCGAACCGGTGGCATCCAGAAACGTGCCCTCGAAGAGAGTGGTGTTGCTGAAGAGTGAGTATTTCCATACATTCCCTCCCCCCTTCCCCCGAATACACCGTACGATATTCCACCCAAAATGCACAATGCAATGTGATGAGAAGAAAGAGGAAAGAGCAAAGAGCGGAAGAGAGCAGGAGAAGGCGAGAGAAATGGAAAGATCAACCTCAACCACACCACACCAAGAGAAGGAGCAGCTTGGAGCTTGGACACCCGTTCCTGCCCGTTGCGATATTGACTTTTTCGCGCCCTTCTCCCACGCGCCTCCTCAACGAACTCAACGAAGCTCAAGCGGCGGCCAAGCTCAAGCTCAAGCTCAAACCAAAATCCCCCCAAGATTTCCAATATTCGCAATCGAACCCGCCCGCCACTCGAGCCTTCCGCCCGGCCAGATGAGGTGAAGCTCTTTTTCAAGGTTTCCTGGCGTCAAGGCCAGTCGTACCATGGGCTCACCATGGCGGCAGCAACCTCGTCCTCGCGCATGCTCCTCGTCCATCGCGACTTTTCCCGCAACCTCGACCACGTCGCTGGCATCTCGGCCTCCTTCTCTTGCAACCTCTCTGCCCTTCAAGATACTCTTGAGAACGCCTTTCAAAACGCTCTTGCTAACATCTCGCGCTCCCGCAGCACTCTCGACGACCTCCTTCCCCCGCGCAACCTCTACAAGAACCACCGCGATACCTCTGGCGTCTGGCGCCCTGCTTCCTCCATCTACTCCGACGGCGACAACTACACCTCCCCCATCTCGCCAAACTTCGCAAACGTGGCTGCCCGAAACACCTACACCTCCGCCGTGGCGGACATCTCTCCCCCGAGCTCTCCTGACATGGAAGCTCACAGAGATGGGTAAGTCGAGCCCAGTCATTCCTACCAAAAGGCGCAGTGTCGAGCAGCAACACAAAACGTTGGGTTTGTCTGAGAAGTCTTATTCTTCGCTCTCAAAACCCACGTGGAATGTGTCTTGTCTCGTCTCGCTTTTTGGATAGTGATTCACTTGCAAGTCAACCAACCACCCACTAACCATGTGCCTCTACTTCAGAACCCCCACGCAGGGCCGCGGGAATGTCTCGCCCATGGACGAGAGCCCGGACATGTCGCAGCTCGATATCAACGGCGCCCATGGCCAAAACGGCCAGCATCACCAGGCTCCGCAAAAGACGAACATCCCCATGATGCGCCGAGAACGTCGCAAGAATCAAGAAGCTGCGGCTCACACTCTCCGAGAGACCAAATCCCAGCAACGGCTGCGGATCCAGCGCGAGACCAAGTGGGATGATGTGACGGGCGAACCCACGTCCCAGACCACGGGCCGTGCGGGTCAAGTCAGGCCACAAGAGTACGCCCAGGAGTTTGGTTCAAATTCGCAGTTCGGCAAGTCCCCGGCCGCAATGAGAGCCATGCAGAACGCACCACAGGCGCAGCAAACCTTTGGTGATCGTCTGCGAAGGTTGAGGCCCGTCGGCGGAAGCCCAAAGCAACAGCAACCCCAGCAGCCGCAGTCGCCGCCTCAGTCATCAACGACACCCGATGTCATTGACGAGCGCCCACCATGGCGAGGTGCAAGCGGACGAGCACCCATTGTGAGTCCAGTCCGTGACACGAAGCCTGCAGCACCTCTCAACATCCCGCCCAAGAGCACCAGACGCGCCGCCGTTGGGCCTCGGCTGCCCATCGCAGGTGTCAATTCACCACTGTCCCCTGTCAGCCCCTCTGGATCTGAAACGTCACCGCGGTCGAGGACGCCCACCATCAGAACTGTCTTCAACGCTCCCCGCCAGCTGACTACTGCTTCTACCGCCTCATCTCCCTCCGCCGCTCGCACCCCTCCACCCGCACAGTCGGCATATCCCAGTCCTCCCAACTCGGGCGCTGGAGTCCAATCGCCCGTACATGCGACGCCCGAAGCCACTAATGACGCCAATGTCACGAAGAGACAACCCCCATCCCTGATGGGCCTGCCTTCTGCCCCTAATGCACATCTCGGCCTCGACAAGGCTATACGAAGAAAGCCTCCTCCTGCCAACTCGCATGCGCTTCACGCTCCGCAGCCCTCCTATTCTTCAAGTGTCTACTCAGAGCAGACTGTTCACGCACCCGCCAGCACTCACGAAAAGTCGCCGCCGCGCGCTCCTGCAGCAGCACAACGCGAAGCTGCCGCTGCCGCTGCAGCCAAGCCGACTGACCCCTGGGCTCAGCCTCCCTCGAGATTCAGCGTCACTACATACGCGACTTCCGCAGATCCCGATACCCCTCGCGAATCCGCAGAGTCGGATCGGCCTCCGGTGCCTTCGCTCCCGACGCCACCGCAACAGCAAAAGGACGGTGTAATGAACCGCAGACGACCTCCTGTACTCAAGTCCACCAGCCCTTCCATCAACCCAGACCAGCCCATCGTCATCTCCATGTCGTCCCCCTACATGTCGGGCGCCTTCACCGAGGACACTTCGCCGCCGCCTGCCCGAACCCAGCTGCCCAGCCAAAAGCAGCCGCTGCCTAGAACGAGCTCTGCCAGCCTGTACAGCAACTCGAGCCGCCCGGAGTCGGTTTGGTCTACTAGCAAAGCCTTGCCTCCGCCGCCGACCGAGCTCTCGATGGTCAACGATCGCGTGGGCTACCTCAACGCTCGGTTGGAGTCGTTGGGCAATCGCCGCATCAACATCAACCAGGCCATTAAGCAAATGACAGAGCTCATGCCGACCGACAGTATCCTGGCCAGTGAGGCTGTCCTCAGGAAACGCGAGGCCGAGAAGCGCAAGGTGGAGGCTCTCAAGGTTGAGCTCGCTGAGGTTCAGCGTGAAGAGTACGAGATTGGCCTCAAGTTGCACAGAGCCTACAAGAGAATGGATCGCAATGCAGAATACGAGCCGACGACGCTCTGGGTGCGGAGAGTTACTGGCTAGCCAATCCTAGCCCGTCATGGTGAGAGGGAGAGTGAGTGAGTGAGAGCTTGTATGATATTTTCGGGCCCTGTTCATACCGGCAGTTCGGACGGCTGCTTATTTTTGGTGCAGCTTGGGTCGCGGACACTGGCGGAAGCGTTTCAGAGGAGTTTACACTGTTGAAAAAAAGCTGGACAGTACAGTGTATTGCGAGTACGGAGTTTGATGGCCCTGACTTGCGCTTTTTCCTTTGCATTACCTTCTTTGGGGAATCAGGTTGCGACTAGGGCATGGTTAATGGGATGAATTGGGGCGTCTCTTGGCAGATGAAGTTTTTGTTTCTATTCTTTTGTTTTTGATACCTATTTTTCTTCGAGAACTGTAGAACAGAATTCTAGAAACCCTTTTTCTCAATCACTCAAGAACCATCAACCCCAACCAGAGTTTGTCTGTCTCGTAACTCACTGTGAAGCCGTTTGCTCGGTGACCCAATGTTTTGAAACACTGAGGTGTTGGGATGGAGAGTGACGGCGCATAAAAATGTGGAGAGACAGTCGAGAGAACCCTGAAGGCTATAGATAGATTCGAAGGGTGTCGATGGGATTTCGCAGGCTCTGCTGAGACTTATGAGTCCAAGAAAAAAAAGATTCTGCAAGGAATTTCTGAAAGAGTGAGGTTTCTATCGTTCTGAAATGCTGGAAATCACAGCGACTCTCCGTACTTACTTTGAAGCTGTCATTTACGACATGGATTGACCTTGGCCATGGGTATTGTGGATGAAGAGCACAGAGAACGACAGTCTGAAATTTGGGAATAGCGTCACTATGGACAGACGTCGAGCAAATGAACTCATGAAGTCGATTGTATGGAAGCGAGTACAGTCAATTATATAAAGTAAGAAACAATATAATGTGATTTGAGTGATCTACCAACTGCGGCTCTATATGTCTTGATATCTCTTAACTATTCCACCTCTCCTTCAAAACCGAATCCAAATCTACATAACAAAGGGTCGGCAGCCGGTACCATCACACATCCACGTCCGATCTCACCATCACTCAACGACTTGAGCAACCCATGCCCAAGCCTCGGAGTCTTAAATCCCCTTGCAACCTCTCCCCTTCTCGCCCCACGACCTCCTCTCACCATCCCATCCAGCCCAGATCCTCTAGTCGCATCAACACCATTAGATAACCTCGTCCCCTTGAACCCTCTATTCCTCCTCACAGCCAAAGCGCCAGCAAAGCCCGCAAGAACCGCCAACCATATCAAAACACTATACACGCCCACCAGAATCTTCATTTTGAACCGGAACCGTATCGCGGGCCGTGACCGTGTACATGGGTATAAATAGTTCTTCCTCGGACCGGACCCCCGTCCTCTGGATGCCCCGTCTGCTCATTTGTCTGGGCAGATGCTTGTTGCGGAAGTGGTGGACGAGGGCAAATGCGCAGCCAGCTGAGAGATGTCAGCTGAGTACTGAGCATTAAATGGGTATAACGTACATTATGCAACAAAATGTGAGCTGCTACCAGTACCTGCCGAGGCAAAAGTAAGTAGTTCCAATGATCAACGCCCCGACTGGGAACAGGCTACTTGTATTATTGGCAGGAAAGAGCCTGGTGCTCATCCTCAAAATACTATATTGATTTTCCCGAAGAGATATATTTCATTTAACTCGTGGTGGATATAATTCTAAGTAAACATCTTTTCATCGAAGAAAGTGAATTCTTTGTGAGTCATCTGTACAAGACTATAATTTTGATAAAATAATATAGTACTTATTTAGCACTTGAATCAATTTGCTTTTTGAAGCTTGCTTTGACACAAATATGCTGACTGCTTCCACCGAGATGGACATAATTCGATATAAAGATATTTCGAGATAGGGTACTTAGTTGCCAAGCGTGGGGACACGACCCGCTTCTACATTAGGCAGTAAGCCGAAGTGGGATGCGACTGCGACTGCAACTCCCTCTTCCCAAGGTACCTTAAGCTGCCCAAGTCAAGCTATTAAAAGGCAGCCCTCCGGCCAATTTTGTTCCTTTTGGCTTCCTTCCGTCAATTTCACAAACACCATGTCTATTCCAGACAACTACTATATAACCGTGGAACCATACTTGGGACACGGAAACAAGACAGGAGACAAACAATACTTGGCACATATCCTGGAATCCTGGAGCACCGACATCGACCCCGACAATGATATCGGTTGGGCCCTACACTGGGCTATCTTTCAAGCAGACGATGCCGCTGTCCAGATGATGATAGATGCTGGCGTAGACCCCAATACGCGAGACAAACAGGATCCCGGCTTCACACCACTCCTGGCCGCCTCGCAGCATGGCAGACTCGAGATGGCTCGTCTATTCTGGGAACGAGTCGGCCCTGACGGGCGCTTCATTCCCAGAAAGAGAGGCCAACCTGGACCCGACTGTTTACAAGTCGCTGCCAGGAACAACCACGCAGATCTTACTGCCTACTTCCTCGGCGCCTGGGACGGTTGGGACGACCAAGAGATGCGCAGGGCGCTGCTTGACGCGGCATCAGCCTGGTGTGATGATACAGTGCCACTTCTTCTGGCTCATCCCGGCGCCACATACGGCCCCGAGGTTATCCAAGATGCTCTGGCAAGGGCGGTCGGCAAGAGGATGATTCTCCCCGAACGCGAAACAAAACCAGCACCAACCACTGCAGATGCTACACGTCAGCAAAAGCTGGTCGGTCGCCTCATCGACGCAGGCGGAGATCCAGACGGCGAAGACCCCCGTTTCCATCAACCACTTATCCACGCCACAGTACATTCACATGAGTGTATCGGCGGCCTCAGCGGCCTCCTGGAGAAGGGAGCGAACCCCAATCGACCAGACGCTCGCGGAAGGACCGCTCTTCACTACGTGTTCAGTCCACTCAGTCGTCAGCTCCCCGACGCTACTGCTCTTCAGTTTCTTCTTAGGCACGGCGCGCTTCCTGATCTCGGAGACGAAGCTGGGGAGACACCGCTCCACGCCGCCGCGAAGACGGGAACTTTCCCGCAGCTGGAAATCTGTCTTTCGCACTGCCGCGCGCCGAAGTCGGAGAGCATACAACTACGGAACGCTCACGGTGAATCGTTATTGCACTACGCCGCGTCAGGGGGGCAGAGAACCACAGTGGAATTCTTGTTGAACTCCGGCCTGGACGCCAACGTGGCCAGCAGCAACGGATGGACGCCTCTCCTGTGCGCCCTGTCTCCGACAGCGGGGAAGACCGCGCATGATATGTGCTTTACGACCGACTTTCTACTCCAGAATGGCGCCAGCGCTGGCGTCGTGACGGACGAGGGATGGACCGCTCTTCATGCCTTGGCATCTTGGCCAGCAGTGCAAGATCCAGATCTCAGGGCAGAGGTAGCGAAGCTCGCAAAAAGACTCATCGAGAGCGGCTCCCCCGTTGACGTCAAGTCGAGGGCCATTCGGAGCCCTTATACCACTTCTAACACTCTGCACGATGTCTGGGGTTTCCGCATGCGAGACTTTGTTCAGAGGGCTATTCCATCGGCACAGGACCTGGGCCAAGCAGATAGCACTACGTCGCTGGCATGGGCCAGGAGATGCAAGTCGATGGATGTTGTAAACGTCTTGTCGGCGCACTTAGCCTCGGCTGGCGGTGAGAGTGCTTGATGTTAGCTACTTGGTAGGCATCCGTCTGCCTAAGAACCTCTTGGAAAGAAATAAAGGCTGGTATAGTCGAGGTAAAGCTCCCAGATTCAAAGAAAAGCGTTGTGAAATATAATACAATAAATTATCTCTTGCTTGTCATTACCTTATTTGTTAAGAAAGAAATGCTTTCTTTTCCTCAACAGACGGCTTACCTCGCTCAGTAGAATGCATAAGTACTATAGCGAATTAGGGTCCTGAGCCTCTTGAAGCTTTCATCTTCTCCTCGCCATGTCTTCGAAGCCAACTCTCATGGTTCTCGGCCCTCACGCAAAGGGGTCTCGAGGGGTGAAGTCGTATTGACTTCCGTCAATCAAGAAGTTGACGGTTTGCGTGATGACGCCCCATGCCGGGTGAGCCATTCCGCCGCGCAGTAGCATCCCCGCGTTGTTGGGATCAAGATCTTGATTCCCCCCGTTGTTGACCGTGGCACCACCCTATCATCATGTCAGCTTTTTCACCATCGAAACCCGGCATTCGGAAACAGAAACTCACCGTCAGGATCAAGTTCAACCCCCGCGTGGCGAGGTACCCATCATCAAACAACATCCTGCTCCAACGCTGGAACCTCTCGAAGAAAGTCTGGTCGGCCGGCAACTGGTCGCTCGGCAGGTCCGTCTCGGCCCCGACGTACCAGAGCTCCTCGTCGGGACACCCGAACCCGTCCCGCGTCGACGCCGTGTTCTCCACGCGCCACGCCTGCCCGGGCTGCGCGTCCGTGTCGTACCCGTGGAACACCTGCACCGACTGGATCCCGACGCGCGTGCGCCCGTCCACGTGCGCGATCCAGTTGGTCCTCTCGTTGACGTGGAAGTGGAACACGACGAAGCGCTCCTCGTTGCCCTCCGAGTTGTCCCGGAACCTGTTCAGCTCGGAGCCCGTCGGGACGCCGGGCGTGTCGCCGATCCAGTAGGCCAGCTCGAGCATCGGACCGCCCTGGGCGTTGACGTGCTGCCAGCGCGCGTAGTGCAGGCTGAGCTCGTTGTTTAGGATGCCCTCGAGGATCGCGGACATATCCGGCCGGCCGGCGCCGATGTTTTGGAGCCAGGTTATATGGCGGGACGCGAGCGTCGAGAGCTGTAGATGTTAGCATGGAATCGAGGAGGGATATCAGATTAGGAAGCTTCACTTACGTTCTTGGAATTCCTTGACAGATCCCTCTCCTCCCGCTTGGTCGCCGTAAGGAGCTGACAGAACGTGGTCTCCGTCCTTGCCGCCCGCCTCAACCCGGGCCCGGCATCAATGGGGTTCATAAAGACATATCGCATCAGGGCGTTCGGGTCCATCCCCTCGTGATTCGCGTAGTACGTCCTGATGTTACCAGACTGCAGCTCCGTATCGTACGCCCCGGCAAATATCTCATCGTACACCAGGCTCAGGGGCTCCAGCATCGACTGGGACGCCGTGAGCAGCAGAGCGCCGAATAGGACCATCCTCGTGAACCGATCCTCTTCGCAGTCCGTGGCCCTGCCGTGAAGAGACCGGTACTCAGCGGCCTCGCGCTTGAGGTCGCGCTTGAGGTCGCGCTTGGTGAAAGTGTTGCCAAACATGTTGCCCTCGGACGGGTTCAGGATGGTCGCCGGGCACGTCGGGTTCTCCATGTACCCCTCGAGAAGAAGCTGGAACTCCTTATTCTGCTTCCCTCCAAAGGGGTCGTCGTCGCCGCGCGGGACGATAGGCTTGGGCGGCTCGCAGCAGTACGCCCTCGCGCCGCCGAAGCAGCCGTTCTCGGCGTTCATGCCGCCCACCTCGGTCGCCAGCTTGATCTGGCCGGCCGGGCAGCTGTCCTCGCAGATGAAGTCCTGGCTGAACCGCGGCGGGCTGCCCTTCTTCACCCAGTCGCACTTTGAAAAGTCTGACGGTTTGGGCTCCTGGCAGCAGTAGTGCTTCGTACCCGATATGCACGGCTGCTCGCCTCCCGCGGCGAGCCTGGACGAGAAGATCTTGTTCGGGTAGTCGGACGGGCAGTCCTGGTTGCACGTCGGCGCCTCGCCCACCCACTTGCACATCCCGTAGGACGCGGTGGCCGCCACGTTGGTGCAGCACGCGGCCTGGTGGGAGAAGTTGCAGCCGACGCGCAGCGAGCCGACCTTGACCTCGCCGTCCTCGCACCCGGGCTTGCAGACACCGCTGTTCCTGTGCCCGCGCCACTCGCAGGTGGGCATCGGCTGGTCGGCGGGGCAGCAGAGCTTGTCGACGCCGCCGTCGAGGCAGTTCTCACCGTTGAGCATGATCTCCTTGTGGCCGTTGCGCTGCACCGTCTTGAAGCCGGCCGGGCAGTCCTGGTAGCAGCCGGACCACCGGCACAGCTCCGCGACCTTGGGCGGCTCGGTGGAGGGCAAGGCCGGCACGAACTTGGGCGGGTCCATGACCTTGCGGCCGACGGCGGACGTCAGGGCCTTGATGTTGGTTCCGTCCTTGTCGTCCTGGCTCATGGCCCAGACCATGACGCCAGGGATGCACTGCCCGCGGATGATGTTGGACTTGAGCCTCCACGTCGCCAGGTCGTCGAACGTCGTCCACTGATCGCCCCACGTCACGGACTTGACGGCGGCCTCGCGGTGCAGCGTGGGCGTGAGGCTATTCTTGCTCACGATGTCGGCGATCTCGGGGTGTAGCAGCACGCCAGTCGTGCCGGAGCACTCGCCTGCGTTGCCTCCGGAGCTTACAACGCACCCGGGGGTGTTACACCCGGCGTTCTGGAGCGTGAAGCTTCGGCTGTAGAAGGACATGCCGAAGGTGACCTTTTCCGGCTTGATGTCGTTCCGCCACAGCAGGTCGAGCGCGTCTTGGATCTCAGTCATGTTGGTATGTGAGTTGGCGTAAGGGCCGGTCCACTTGTTGTCGATATCCCAGGATCCGTGGATATCGTAGCTCATGATATTGAACCAGTCGACATGCTTCTCAAGGTTCTTGATATCGAAGTGCTGTAGGTACCAGAAACTCGACGGCAGAGTCAGGGACACAGACTTCTTTTGGTCACCGCTGTGCATCCTGTCGGCCAGGGACTTCATGAAGGTGACAAAGTTCTTGAAGTCTGCTCCCTTTCCAAAGCGGTCGTCGGCAACTGGATACTCCCTGTGACACACCCAGAGGTCAGCATTATATCCTGGAGTGCTGTGGCTTGGCGACTTACCAGTCAATGTCAATACCATCAAACCCATACTTGTTCATCAACTTGATGAGAGAGTCAATGAACTTCTTGGTCCCATCGGTCGAGCCAGCCATGTCACTGAAGGTGGACTGCGTTGGGCCGGGGTCATTGAAAGCCCACCCGCCGACGGCGATCCAGATCTTGATATCCGGCTGGATCAGTTTGATGGCGCTTATTCTTTGCATGAAATCCGCCGTCTGCGAGTCGCCAGCCTTGATCTCAAAGGTACTAGGGTCGATCGTCGCGAAAGAGAAGATGATGTCGGTGTAATATCCGAATGGGATTTCCTCTGGCAGCATACCGTAGCAAGGACGGTTGGTCGTAGACCAGGCCTCGTAGTAGCCGATCACACGGGTGATAGGTGTATCATTGACGGCGCATGATGGCCGCTAGATACAGCAAAATTGACAATGATCAGCCCGTTGTTCGAAGACAGAACTCATTCAATGTCTATGAGTTCGAAAGGTGTGAACCCACCTTGACAGTCTCATCACCACAGAAGTCCTTTGTAGTACCGCAGAAGCCAAACTTGCTGCAGCAGACGTTGAGAGGGCATGTTTCGGCCTTGCTCCATTTCGGGTCATCCCATCCTGGGTTGCAGTCTGCCTTGAAGTCGCATGTACTGACACAATCCGTACTAGATAGCGCCAATTACATCAGCTACTGCGTTGCCAAAGAGTCTGCAAGCTTTCTACCAGCAGCAAAGGGCTCCCACTTACCCGCAATAATCAGGGCCCGTACCACAGACTCCGTACTTGGAACAGCATCCAATGGGACACAGCTGTGTGGCGCTACATTCAGGGGCTTGCTGAAGAGACAGCTGCAAGAAAGAGACAAAAGAAAAGAGAATGAGCAGAAATTTGGCCATAATGAAGGAGCCAAGCTAGAAGCAATGACAGAAGTGTCAGTAAAGAATAATCTACTAGACCAAAGTATGGCGGGTTGAGTTGCGCATCGACCAGACTTTAGATATCTATCGAAACAAGCTCTTTGATGCCATAGTCGATCCATCACCTCGTCGCATGTCAAATCTCATAGGTAAAACTCGGGGTTGAGAGCCAAGAGTCATTAAACCGCAGGCCCGAAGCAATCTGACATCTATTACTCCCTGGCCCCTGACCCCCGCGTCTTGCTGCCTCTACCTCTTGGGGGCAGAAACGCAGGTTCAAATTGCCTCAATGGAAGATCATGTACGCATGGGGAGTGGGCTCCGAGAGTCCCTTGCCGTCGACTCCGCCGACATGTCTCTCTCGGATACCCAAAGCGGCCCTAGGGCTGACAACGTTGCAGTCTACAAGGTGTTTTGGTTCCGAAGGACCATCAACCCGGTCTCGCATTCACCATTCGATCAGGAATAAGACCGATAATTGCGGAGACGAAAATGGTAATTAGAAATATGCATAAGCACAAAGTAACGGGTCCCCGATCACCGATCCCTGTCCGCATCCACTTCCGATGCGGCCCTGGCCGTCCCACGGGACGATCCTGCACGCGATTCCTTGCATTCTCGCTGAATCGCCAAGCAGGCACCATCGTCTCTCTATCATGAGAGCTCAATTTTCAACACTCACCTGCCGCTTTCAGGCACAAAATTGCCTCTTGTCTTACCATGCGGACTTCAGGAGTCCAATTTGCCAAGGGCGGTTCGCCAAGGGACTGATGGTCCAGCCTTCTCGGCACTTACAACTTCTTGGACTTTGGATAGAAGCCTGACCCGGCTTGTGAGGCAAGAGATGACAGAATTAGTCAACGCAAAATTATACTACATGAGTGGGGAAAGGGAGCAGTTGATATCATCTGCAGTCATATCGTCAGCGGCATGGTTAGAAACTTGCGATCTGAACTGAAGACTTGACCTTGGTCTTGTCGTATCCAGCTCAGAGCCGTTCGGCCTTCTCGTCCTTTTCTCATCCACTCCAGTCTTCACCTACAGTCACTCGTTACAGCACCAGCGAGACGTCATGTCTTTTTCAAACTCACGTCGCCTCGCGAGCGCCCTCTTCGCTCTATGCCTGAGCTCTGTTGCTGTTGAGTCCAGAGGTGTCCCCCAGTCCCTCGCGCAAAGACAGACTGCCACTGGCTTCCAGCTCGCCGCTCAAGGCACCCTCTCTGGCTTTGGTCTCACTTCCGCCTGCGAGGCGGTACTCTACCAGACGATCAACTGCGATGTCTACGTCCGCAACCTCGGCGAGAAGGTATACCACGGGACGCCCGGAGATAAGGCCTTCACGGACACGGTCTGCTCTGCCACTTGTTCGACTGCCTTATCCACAGCTCGTCGGCGCATCGCGGGCTCTTGCGCCTCCACGCCCGAGCTGTTCCAGGGATATCCGGTGCTGTCTCTCATCGACTCCGTCACCTCTGGATGGAATGAGACTTGCTTAAAGGATATCGACGGTGCATACTGCAATGGTGAGCGATAGGGCAAAACAGCCTCTGAGAACTTCCAATACGCTACCAGACTTTATGTTGACACAATATGACGCAGCTAAGATCGAGGCCTTTGATGACGTCGAGGACCTCGCTGATATGCCCAAGGATCAGCTTTGCTCCTTCTGTTACGGAGAGAAGCTCCGGCTCATGCAGCGGTCGCCCTATTCCGCCTACGATAGCTTGCACGCCGAGAGACTGCTTTACATCAACGGAAGTAAGTGCCCAAGCCCGACTTACGACTGAAATTCTCTGCCAGCATCTGACCAAGACCCTGTTACAGACTGTGGAGGGGCTACTACACCTACAGAGCCCCAACCACCCGTCATAAGCCCCAATGGTACTGTGCCAGATAGCTGCGTTACGGGAGTCAAATACACTGTTCAAAACGGCGACACTTGCAACAGCATTGCAAAGGCAAAATCCATCGTAAGTGCAACATGGCGAGACGGAATAGTGATGATGGGCGACAGCATGATGCTAACGAGTCTTTCGACTTCAGTCTGCGGCAAGTCTGTACTACATCAACCCAAGTCTCCTAGACTGCGACGCTCCTCAGGCCGGCTTGGAGCTCTGTCTCCCCCTGACTTGCGAAACCACGTACGAGGTCAAGGAGAAAGACGACTGCGTCGCCATCGGGGTGGACCAGGCTACCACATGGCAGAACATCATCAAGTGGAACGGCGGCCTGAACGACCGGTGCTCCAACATCTGGTCCTCCAAGACCTCGCCTCCGTACTGGGGCAACATAATCTGTGTCAGCGCGCCCGGCGGACTTCCCGACGGTGGCCCTGGTTCCGGTAACGGAACCGACACGGGCAACGGAGGCATCGGGGGTCCCGGTGGTTCCGGCGATGGCTACGCTGACACCAGGGTTGACCCGCCTACCACTGGCACAGTCGCTCAGGGTACCACAGATCTATGTGGTCAATATGTCCAGGCCCAGGAGGGTGCGACTTGCTCGACAATCATTGCCGGCAATGCTGTGACTATCAACCTGTTCCTGAAGGCTAACCCCTCCTTGCGCAATGCCGAAAGCTGCTCGCAGTACTTGCGCGTTGGGCTTTGGTACTGTCTTCACCCAGTCAGAGACTTTGACCAGACTGCCTGAACTGGATCACATGAGGCGGATTAGGGCAGCTTTCTTCTGGCCTTTGGTGCTATTATACTTTCTACTACTTGGCAGGAAAGAGGTGGTCCTCCCGCATAACACCGTTTCTGTTTACATTTTACGTCAATCGTTAGCTTCATATTCATAGATCTGTGTAATCAATATGTCTTGGCCTTGAATCTGTTAGAATCTGCTTTCCGTGATCTTGAATCTGGTATGAGATATTCAAAGACCTTGATTCGAGCCCACTTGGTGCGTGTGAAATGTACCCTATTCGGCAGTCTTATCGCTCGTTTCTGGCCCGTATCAGTTGATGCATTGAGAGTCTCTTAGTTACGTCTGATTTTCCTTCATTCCAGAGACTCCAAGATTAATCAGGTTCGATGGGTCCCTCGGTTACGTGCATGAATCCCTGTCTCTTGGCAGAGGAAGCCTAATGCGACCGTAAGCACCCCTCGCATGGCCACCAAAATAGTCTATCTTGGCAATGCAACGTATTGAACAAAATATCTTTTCGGCCTGAACTCGCCTCGGGACGACCTTCGGCTGCCCTGAGTCGCCACCAATATATGCATGTAGGCAAGAATCCTATAGACCAACTGTCTAGAAGTTGTGGCTCCTAATACAACGCTTACTGGCTAGCTACAGAAATCTCACGCCGTTGCGGAGATGAAGTCAGCATTGTGCCTTGGCCGGAAAGGAGTCGGAAATTGCAGTCTTGGTCGGGTTCGTTTAGTTCTATGCGATACGAGCCTCACAGGATTGACCGCAATCATGTCACGTTCGCTGAATCGAGTCTTGCATGGGTGTCCAGACTTTGGGAACTTTTGGTTGAAAAAGACGAACCGAATCAGTTTACTATCATGATGTTGTATATTTATATGTCGTATCATGGTCTATCTTACATCCATTGAGCTTCCCCTTGTCATCAGCCTGACGATCAAGTAGACTTGACTGAGAAAACTCGTACCAGACAGCAAACTTCCTGTTTTCAAGATGAAGTTCATGCTCCAGTCAAGCCTTGTTGCGCAGCTCCTGTGCCTCGGCGCTGTCGCTCAGTGGGCCGAGCCACCACCCTCGACCGCGGACCCAGGCACCATCACGGACTGCACCTGGTGGTTTGTCGCTGGCGCATCTGATACCTGCGAGCGAGTGACTGCCACGTACGGCATCACTCAGGCTCAGCTTGTTGCATACGTAAGTCTACTCCCCACAATATAGCATCATGTATCGAGATAGAATTATGTCGATCAAGCCAAGTTGAACTTCTGGAAATCAATGCTATTTGACGATTGCTAACACTCATCCTCACCAGAACCCTATCTTGTCTGCCTCCTGTACCTTCATCACTGGCAACTCGTACTGCATCGAGCAAAATTGGGGAGCGGCGCCCGCGCCCCCTTCCACTACCGCTCCCGGTGTTCCTACGACGTTGACAACCACCACCAGAGCTTCCACCACCACAACGACTCCCGGGAATGGCGTGACCACTCCTACACCGATCCAGCCTGGCATGGTGTCCAACTGCAACAAGTTCTACTTCGTCGCGTCTGGGGTCACCTGCAGCAAGGTCCTCAGCGACGCGAACATCAGTCTCGCCGACTTTGCCAAGTGGAACCCCAACGTCGGCGCCGAATGTACGGGCATGTGGGCCGAAGTCAACGTCTGCGTCGGCGTCATCGGCGGAACCACGCCCACGACGCCGCCGACAACCACCAGTAAACCCGTGACTACCACCACCGCCCCGGGCAACGGCATCCAGACGCCGCAGCCGACGCAGCCGGGCATGGTGACCAACTGCAACAAGTTCCACTGGATTGCCCAGGGCGTCACCTGCAGCCAGGTCCTCAGCTACAACGGCATCAGCCTCGCCGACTTCGCCAAGTGGAACACGGGCGTGGGCGCCGACTGCAGCGGCATGTGGGCCGAGGTGAACGTGTGCGTCGGCGTCATTGGGGGCGCCACCACACCGCCGACCACCACGACGAAGCCTCCGGTCACCACCACGGCCCCCGGCAACGGCGTGACTACGCCCCAGCCTACGCAGCCGGGAATGGTGACCAACTGCAAGAAGTTCCACTATGTGTCCGAGGGCAACACATGCGACCAGATCATCAGCTACAACGGCATCACTCTCGCCAACTTCGTCAAGTGGAACACGGGCGTGGGCGCGACCTGTCAAAACATGTGGGCCAAGACCTACGTCTGCGTTGGTGTTTAAGCAGCGAACTGCGCTACCTAGGCCTTCCGGGTCGTAATTTTTATTCTATGTACAAACTTTCTGGGCGGATCAGAGAAGTTATTTCTCACAGGCGTGTCAAGGAAAGGGGAAACTATATAATTCATCTTTCTATACAATAAAGCATCACATGATTCTGAAGATAAGATTCAATGATTTGACTTTTTTGGAGCAAACAGGGTCTCGATCTGCCCCGTGTCGGTAATGAAATTTCACGGGACGTTCTATGCCGTGCCGGGAGAAATCGTCTTACAAGCTCCATCATTGCGTGAGCTTTGATGCTCGCTGAATTCGTCCAGTAAACCACCTGAGATAGAGTGCATTCAACAGTGCGATCAAGTCTAATTTATGTACTGACGCAGTTGATCTCTACTAGATGAACAGGATTACCTCGGAGAAATGTGTACATGAATACACGATATTTCTCTAATGAAAAGGAATAACACTAGAAGACCATCTCAAATGGTGCCAAAAACAGCAAGACTATCGTAAGCCTTTCCAGTACCATCAAACATGACGTTGCTCTCGCAAGAGGAACCCAGGACGGCGTTGGAAATCCACGCAGCCTCCCAGTAATTTAGACCGGTTGCAGAGGGAATCTTCTTGAGGGTATCTGCAACCATGGTGATGTACTCAGTCTGGCCTGCCGTGCTCAGCGGGATGCTAAGCTGGTCCGAGGGGAACGTGTAATCGGGCGACGTGCACTTGGTCGGCCAGTTCGTCTCGACGACCTGAACCTCCTTGCTGTACTGCGTCGCGAGGCCACTGAGAGCTGTCTCGAGGGCAGAGAATGTCGCCTTCGAGCTCCAGAAGGGGTAGAAGGACACCGCGATGACGTCCCAGTCGGCAGTGGTGAACTTGCCAGTCTTGACGAGCATGTCGTAGTACCAGTCCTGCAGGTCGGCGTCGTAGCCGTGGGCAAGGTGCGTGACAATCTTCGTAGTCGAACCCAGGGCAGAGGCGCGAATGGCGGCCGAGCCAGCGTGCAGCAGGCGAGCAAGGTTCTCGGGCTGATCGTACTTTCCCGTGGGCCAGAGGATACCTCCGTCAATCTCGTTGCCGATGGTGATCATCTCGGGGTAGAGCCCGGCGGCGGCGAACGCCGCGCACACCTCGGCGGTGTAGTTGGTGACCTGGGCCTCGAGGGCGTCAATGGCCGTGGGCCAGCCGGTCGGGATGTCCTGGAGACCCGGGTTCGTAAAGCCGTCGCTGTAGTGCAGGTTGAGGCCGAACATGAGCCCCGATGCGTTGGCCCTCTTGGCGAGCTCGAGGTTGTACGAGATGCCGTAGTCGCCTTCGACGGTCCAGACTCGCTGGCGGACCATGTTCACGCCGGCGTCGACGAGGATCTCCTCCAGGGGTTTCGCGACGCCTTGGGCGTTCTTGTAGGTGACGCCCTTGTCACGCTCTTCCACGATGGTGGATGACCAGTCGATTCCATGGTACTTGAGGTTCGCCGCGGCTGCGGGAACGGATTGTTGGTTAGGGGTCGTATTCGTAGATGCAAGGGGGGGTTCAACAGAGCAACCTACCAGCTGAGCCAGCAGCCAATGCCGTGAGGAAGAGAGCTTTCATCATGGTTTCGATTTGGTAACGACCGACAAGTTACAGATGCATCGAAGATTGGCGGCTGGGCCGATCGTTTTGTTTTCGAGCCAGCGACTATTCCACAGCGGCATGCCGTCCCCTTTCGATCCTGCTCCGACATGTAATTGCTTGGTTCATTTCAACAGCGCCTCGGCATGGCTAGCCTAGTTGCGGATCAACGATTTTGACAGGGAGCAGCAGCGTTGTTGGCGGTAGCTGTCAATGTGTCATCTGATGGTCCAGCCCGATGAAAGGGGCTGAACTGGGGGCAACCCGAAGGGGTCCCGGACGCGAGCGCACATCGGCACGGCAGATGCGGCGCTTGTCAAATTTCAGGGACGGTTCATTTATTGGGTTGACGCAATTCGTACGATTGGAGTCGGTGTTGGTGGGGTCTGTTTAACGTTAATGGGCTTAGATCTCTGCTAGACGCACAGCCGTTTGTTTGAAGTAAGCCAGGGCCGCTGCTTATCTTTGAGATGCTGTGGATATCGAACTTCGGGTGAACGATTAACAACAACCATGGGACTGATGGTTGATGCATAAAGCCTACTTGAATCATCGAAAACCTTTATCTAGAGGCCGAGTTTCCCTCACTGAAATTTGTTGTTATTCTCCTGAGTTGGTTGGAATAGTGAACAGTCCAAGTGCTTGTGTTCCCAGCGTCTATTTGAAACAACGCTCCCCTCAGTTCCCTGCAGGCCTCATTTGCGTCCTCAGCTATCGATATGACAGAAAAGCTCTTTGCAACAGAGCAAGTTCTGAAATTGCGTAGATGAATTGAAGAGCTGAGACTCTCGATAAGATACAATGTCAGCATCAGAAACCTACACCTGTTGCGGCAACGTAGGAGCTTCTCTCTCAACCATGCACATCCACGGCAATCTGCTGCCCACGATGTGGATGTGGTCGTCGTCGTCGTCATCCGCTTTGCTCAAACTCAAATCAGCAGCTATGGCCCCCTGGGCAGCGAAAGCACATTGGAATTGATTGCGTTAATTCTGAATCTCTCTCAAGCCACTTGTAGCCATACTCTATGCTGGCACGTCGGCAAAGCTTTCAAACGGGATGATGCGCAGCTGTTCGATAGCGCAATTGACCGCGGTACATTGTAGTTGACGACTAAGTCATAATGACCAGGGAACTACACATGATGCACATATTCTCGTTAGGTGGTGCTCTTGCTTTCGTCCTCCGGCTCATTCAACGCAGCCACACCACTCTTTATCTCGTCCATTGGGATCTCGAATTCTCTTGCCAAACTCTCCTTCCACTCCTCAACCGAAATCACCTGCCCACCATCCATGGCATACCGAGCTCGTAGAACGTTGGCATCACCATCAACTGGTTCCACGCCCAATGGCACAGGAACAGTCTTCGCTTCCGGACCAACACAAACATCCTCCCCCTGTCGTGGTCTCCGAAGCCATTGATGCTTTTCACTGCAAACCGTAATCACGTCGGATTCAGGGTCCCGTAATCGCGCCAGGCATTCTCTGCAAAAGTCCTTATCCAAGCAGTAGACGCATTGGTAAAACTCCTGTTCAAAATCGCCTCTCTTCTCGCACTTTTTGCCCTCCGAAGTAAAACCATCGCAGAACCACTGTGTCTCAACTTCAACCGTAGGTGTGTGCTGCTTCAGCAAGTCCGAGATGCGCGACTGGAGTAGGCGATGTGCAACATTAGTTGGAGAACCAGTATTGTCTGGAATCGTTGGCTTGTCTTGATGACTTGTGTCACCTTCGGAGGCGAGGTTCGATTGACTTGCGAGGGCAAGTGAGTCAATGTGTGCTTTGGCGGCCTGGATGCGCTCTAGTTGTGACGCACTATCTGGCACTTGAGTTCTCACGAGCTGGGTAGTTCCCTTCGCCAGTACCGTAAGAACTTCGAGAACCTTTTCTTTGTCTGTAACTTCATCCTTGATATCCTCGGCTGTAAAGTTCAGACCGCCCGTCACAAGATCTGGCTGGCCTCGCAACGAATGGGCGATGAACACGCCCTTGAAGTCTCCTTGTCGATAGCTCTTCAACACTTGCTGAAGGAGGAAGAAGCCATAGTTATCATTATCGGGCATCTCGTCAGAAAGTATCTGAAGAGCCTGTACTACCCGAGGCCTGAGCACTGATCTGGCCTTATCCTTCTCTCCACGTAACGCATGGAGTGCGGCTAGGAGTGCCGTTAAAGAGTCGTCGAAATTATTTGATTCCTCTTGCACGAGTTTGGCCAATGCTTCGAGGTTTTCTTCGTCTTTCCCCTTTCCTTGGTTCGAGAAATAATGGTTCGCAAGAGCCGAAGTGGCGTTAGACCGCGCAACGTAGGCGTTGCGGCCACCCACGTTGGCGAGTTGGTCGCGACTCTCAGTCCAAAGACGTAGGGCTTCGCTCACGGGCTCTTTTTCATCCAGTGTGATTCCGAACTTATACGCGGCGAGGCCAAGGTCGAAGAGAAGCACTCCTCGGGCTTCTTCTTCCTCGTATTGCGCATCTAAATTAGAAGACTCGGCATGGCGTTCTTCTTGCGTGGTGGACTTCTGCGTGGCGGCGTACATCGTGTCGACCATCTTCTTTAGAAGCTCTGGATCGCTTTTCGTGGTTTTGAACATGCTTGAAGCGAGAACGTCGTGTTCAAAGTCCCTCGCTATCTTCTTCAGGATTTCAATCATCCTACTTTCACCGCCTTCTGCAGCAATCATGGTCTTCAGCAATTGTTCAGCCTCGGTTACATCTGGGGACATGAGTTTTGCCTTCAGAAGTCCCAGTTGTCCGGCGATTGCCTGTTCAGTGTCGTCGCTTTGAGACGCCGCCAAGTAGTGCTTTGCCGCAGTGGCCATGTTCTGCGTCTCATAGTTGTACCTGCCCAGCAATAAGTGCAACTCGACGATCTCCTTTGCATCTGGCTTTGGCGTAGTCTTCTCCGATTCGGCTTCCTTCAGAGCAAGCTCGACTTGTTCGATGGCCTGCTCCAACTGCTCCCGATTATAGTACGTGATGCCAAGGCCTTGGTAACACCGCCAGCTTGGGTTCTCAAGTTGAGCGGCTTTCTGGTAGAGCGACAGAGCTTGATCGGGATTGTTCCCCACCCAAGAGGATGCCTCGGCAAGTCTTTCATACCAAAGTGAATCAAGGTCTGCGTCTGACAGTCCGAGGATGTCTTGGCACCATTTGCTGGCAACGTCCCAGTCTATCTCGTCGCTAGAGCCAGCAGATGAGGACGGAGATGATGAGCCCTCTGGATTCGCGTCATCTCCATTGGGACTTGGGGCATCTGGAAGCTTCTCAATCTTGTCCTTGTCCTGTTCAATACTCCTGTCAGTACCCCGTGCTCAAAGGCTTCATACGACATTTCCCAGTCAGACTTACCGCGGCCATGAACTCCTTCAGCCACCGGCAAGCGCTTGGTACATTCCAGCTCCTTTCTCTTAGGAACCCTCGTACCACCATATGAACAAACTCTTTAAGATATCCTCTTGTGGGGTATCGTGCACGCTCCATCTTGGCACGCCATGGCTTATCGAGCTTCCGAACGACTGTTGGATCGGTTAACCACTTCTGAACGTCTGTCATCTCGTCTGCCCACCAATAAACCTCTCCGAGAGATGCTCGATGCCGTTTGAAGACCGCGTCGTCTTTGAAAAGGTTATACAGATTACTTCCAATCTCGGCCCTTTCATTTGTTGTCAATTCTCCCTTGCCCTCGTCTTCGAGTTGTCGAAGTTGGCCCAGGTGGTAGGGAAGCCAACAGACGAGGTAATCTCCAATGGTTTTCGTCTCCTCCTGGGGATTGCCTTTCAGGTAGTTGAATGCCCGAGTCACAATCGTCTGGTTGGCCTCAAACTCGTCCACTGAAATAATACGCTGACTGCTGTTGTGCAGAGCGTTTGAGTTGTTGAAATCAAATTTGAACTTGTCCCGAATCGCCATATCTGCAAGATCCCAGAGAAAGTGCCCACAAAGCTCTTGATCGACATTGTTGATAGTGATCGTCATGCTGATCGTAGGGCGGTCTTTGGAGTTGGCCGAGCGGTTCGAAAGTTCTCTCTGCTTCTGCAAATACTCTACAACACCGTCTTGAGGGAAGACACTACCATCTTCGATCATCAAGACAGCGGAGTACTTATTTTTGATAACGTACTCGAGAGACGTGAGAGATTCTATGCCTGAAAATAGCCTCTTTATTACACCTGATGTCAGTTTCTGCATACTGGCCAAGAGCATACCTTAGGGTGCTTACCATGGCGGACTCAAGTTGTTCCAAGGTAAGATAGTAGTGGCTGTACAAGGCCCATTTAAGCATTTCGTTTAGCTCGATGATTTCATCAGCTGTCAATGACCGCTGGAGATCGTTGATCGCCGCCTCGAAACTGCCCATTGACTGATCAAGCATACGGTCTAACTCTTCAACAGTGGCCATACGTGTGCTCAGGAGACGTATGACTCCGTCTAGCTGAGGCTGGAATGTCGAGTATCTTCCGTTCACATTTTGTGGAAGCTTCTCAAGAATCTTGTCTCTAGCCTTTTGCTGTTGCGAATTGGTCCCGGCGTTTGGAAGCACACCCTGCTTGTTCAAAGACTCAATGATGACGAGCCGCATATCCTGCTCGTTCTCCTTCTCCATTTGAATTTTCAACGCATCGTCGAAGTTTGATTGGTACGCAGTCTTCAGCTTGGCGTCTGTGCCGCTCACCAAGATGCGCACTCGCCGAGCCGGCTTCTCTTTCGACCGAGAACCGAAGACAAACTCAAGGAGCATCTTCAACTGATCTTGATGAAGATTCTCAATTCCATCGAAAACCAGGTAGTATGTAGCTCCTGATCCAGGTGCTCCAATTTTGAGGTCTGACCACAGCTTCTCCAAATTCTCGGTGCTTGATGAGCGACGGAATGCGGCAGGCCCAGCGTCACACGCTTTGTTCAAGGCTTTTCGTACCGTGGCATCGACGCGAGCAATTTGGAAAGCCATGTACTTCAGCGCTGTCTGTACGGGGTTTTTGTCATTTTCGGACTTCTTCGTGCTGACTGGGAAGAAGTAGTGGGCAACATAGATGCGGCCCTTTTGCTCTTCGAGGCGTTTGGTGATGAGAGCAGTGACAGATGTCTTTCCGGATGATTCAGGACCGGACACAACCAATACATCTTTATCGTTTGATGCTGTCCATGAGGTGTACGCTTCATGAGTCCAGATCCACGAACCTGTGCCGTTGAAACATTTGTCCGAGATTGTGGTAACTGTCTGCGTGGTGTTGGTGTCGAGCCGGACAGTCGACGGCACGCCAAGATTATCGCGAATCTTGGTCAGTGTCTTCGTGCGGTCAGCGTCGTCTGTCAGAGACTGGACACCCTTGTGGGTCTCTTGCGCAGCCCTTTGCGTTTCTACAACCACCGCAAGCGTGACAGTTCCTTCGACATCGCGCTGTCCCTGCAGAGCCCCTTTAAATGCCGCCATGGCACCAGCTAGGTCTGTATCGCTGTCGAAAATGGACTTGACCCGTTGGAAGACGCGGTCACGTCTGCGGCCCTGGCGATGCTTGACGACATGAGCGCAAACCTCAACAAAGCGTATGAGAACCAGATTGATCTGGTTGATCAGCAAGCGATCGACGCTGTCCATGGACTGATAGATCTGGAACTGAGACAGCGCCGACGACACTTCGCTAAAGACTTGATCGACGGCATCGTTATAGCCTTTGATAGCCTGAGGGATGTCGAAGACGAATGAGAGCGCACTGGCTGTGATATTGCTTGCCACAGCCGGAATTGGGATCTGGCTGCATCAGCGGTCAAGTCGGGCAAAAATGAAACTCAAATCAGACTCACAAATGAAGAGGCCTGTGAAGCAGCTCCCACGAGCATTTTGAGATACTTGAGAGAACTTAGGCCGACACTTTTAGCTGTTTCCCAGCTGTCTTCCGGACTCGGGCTAGTATTGACTTTGCCGCTGTTCTCAATCTGCTTCTGCACGTCTTCGAAGCTCTTCAGCTCGCCCTTGTTAAGCGACTCGCCGCATATTTCCCGGAAATGCTCGGCTGCGGCTGCCCAGATCTCATCCATGGACCTGTCTCCATTGGCGAATTTCTTGCCCGACGAATCTGATGCTTCTTGTTCCCTCATCGTGGCGCGACACTTTGAAGACAATACTTGAGAAGGAGATAGTGAAGCAGCGATGAATGAAGAAACTTGCCCCGCCAGATAGCTTTACTCTGGCGGTGTCTCCGAAAGCACTGGTGCTTACACGACTGTTGATGCTGGCGTGAATACCTCCAAGACGAGTCAAGAAGACAAAATATCCGTGCCAATTCTGATGACTATAGTACTTCAGTACTTATGTAAACAATATTGCGGTCGGGCAGATGTTATGAGCGCGTGGGCGGAGAGCTCAGCAACAATTCTCGCTAGCGATCCTGCAGCCTGATCCGACGTTACAGGCAGCACCAAATGCCTCGTCTTCGCAGCTAATGGTGGGGTGATTACTTTACCATACAAGGGTTTTCAGTCGAGTACGAGCTACCACATCAAATTGCGGCTGAACCGACATGGGTACAAAACTACCGAATAGCCGCTGTATGCGTCGAATCATTTCCTTCTGCACTAACAAGTGTCTGATTACTGTGTCACATGAGTTGTTGGGAAAAGGTCCAGAGCTACTCAATGGGTTGATCTGATGTCAGCTTACTTGCCCACTGCGTTCTAGCTTGGTCACTCGATGAGGAATTTGAAGCCGCTCTTATGTAATTGTCGACACATTCGAGACTAAGGCTGAAGACAACACCTCAGACCAACGATACCGCTGTTGAGCTCCTGTCGCTTTCAACCTCTTTGTCCCTCTTCTTCAAGATGCAGAAATAGAATATAGCCATCGTGCCCAATGTCAACAAAACCGCGGCGAGTACGTAAATCCAAAAAATACTTGACAGTAATCCACTTTTTCCTTCTTTGGGAAGGTCGAAGAAGTCCATAGAGAAAAATGCCTGACAGAGATCAACCCGACATTCATATTCATTTGGGAAATTGAATCACGCACCGTTGCGAAAGAAGCAGGTAGGAAGATCATCCCTAGCACCGCGATTGATTTCATGATGCTGCCGTCCCGTCGGGTCATTTTGGCAACATCTAGGTTGACTCGCGATATCTCTTGGTTCGTTTTCGCATCGCTACGACCAATTTGGCTGATTTCCTACTCGAAAGAGATGAGCGAATAGTCCGTCGCTGTGACGAACTACAGACTGTGATCAACTTACAAGCTGAGTTGCCAAGCTGAACCCATCCATTATGTGTGAACATTCTCTGATGTATTCATCATACTCATCAACTAGCTCTTGCAGTCTGTCTCTGATCCGCTCTCCTGTGAGAAAGAACTGTAGTCTTTGCTCTTCTCTGTATGTGCTGTTGAAAGGACCACGAGGTGCAAACTCGACACGGTTGAGATCTTCGACGTGAGAAATCATTTTGAGTAGCTGTCTTCTCCAATTGCTCAGACCAACTCTGAGACGACTTATTTGCTGCCAGAGCTTGGCGGTCGGAAGACTTTCTTCGTCTGGAAAAGTACAAGGTGGAACGAGACCCTTATCCTCAGTGAGGGTGGTTGAACCAGACGAAGTTGACATGCCCTGCTGAAGGTGAAGGGCACCGAATGGACTGGACATGGCTTTCTCGTCATCGTTGAGTGTTTCCATCTCATTACGGACGCTCGCTGAAGTTTTCACAGCGGGCTTCATGAAGGCAATGCGATCGATCCGTCGTCCTAGTTGCTCCAGCTTTTCTCGGACGAGCTCGATTTGTCTGTCTCGTTCGACATCTGCAAACATGGTCGGTAACATCATTGGATGAAATACCGGGGTATCTGAGTTTTTCAGTCGACTGGTGATAATATCGGCCAAGGTCATGCGACCGTCGTACATGTCTGGCTTCTTGAGATCACATCCGAACAAGACAGCATTCGTAGTCAAAGTGCTGGGCATAAAAGTCACGGATAAAGCCATGTCTCCTGGCCACGACGCTGTCGTCCTGCAGAGGTATACTATCTTTGGTGAGTTACCCAATACCGGCTATCTCATCGTTCAGATGGGCACGTACCGAGCGATTTCTGCTTGGAATCATTCAAGTTCCATTCAAAATTCATCTGAGAAAACATGCAGCTCGTGTTACGATTGATCGTCCTCACGATACCACTGTGCACGAGGAAGCGTCGCTGAACTTTTGAAAAGATTTGGTATGACCAGGGTAGTGTCGAAAGAGCGGACGGATCATGTTCCCAAGGAAATTCCGCCCGACCCCCTAATATCAGATTCAGTCTGCTAGATTCGGGAAACCGTCGCCCCGACCGATCCTATAAATCAACGATATTAGTTCTGTCTGGCTACCGTAAGGCAGTGAGAATATGATCGGGAAGTTTTACCGTCTCTAACCATTGTTTCCAGTGTGCACACGTCTTCATCGTCCAGGACTCTGCATGGTCAAGAGCCTTCTTGATGTCAGAACGTGAACTATTTGCTCATCAAAAGTCGGCTCATGGAGAATTCATCCCACATTATCTTGTCGTTCGATTGAGATCAGCTGACTTTCTGTCGGTTCAAAGTCAAGCACCTCAAGATCTTCCTCGAATATTTTCGGATCACGGCATAGCCATGACATGGCGACTGGTAAGTTGGGTCGGATGAAGCTTCAAGTACTGAATCAAACTTAAGCGAGCTTTCGGGTAGTTCATGAGAAATAGACCGATGGTTGAGATCACGAGAGACATCAAGTAGAAGGTGCATGTGAGGTAATTAGGTCACAGAGATCAGTTTTAACCTCGAACCCTGAGATGAGCAGTAAGATTCCCCGGACTACATCCCATCAGGCCAAGTCTGAGTACCTACCTCGGGAAGAGCTAAGCTCACCGTCAGCATGATCTGGTTTCAATAATCCGGCAAAATTTCCAAAGGTTTACCCCGCTCGAAAGGCGCCTCGCGTTGAGCATTGTCGGGATGCTCCGGTTGGCGAGGAACGGTGTGCGTCGGCAGGCTCGTCCCCATCTCCCGAGAAGTGCGGGCTGTTCTGGTTTGGATTTGGGAAAATGGCTGCCACCGTTGTGCAGCTCTTTCTTGACACCAAATCAGCCAAGCAGAACGCCCAACGTGGTAGAATGGAACATCATGCCTACATTCGGGGCTGTGCGTGGGTCTGCATATGCACTGAGTGCATGCATGCAACTTAGGCATCGCTGGGCACATCCTGGCTGGGAGGTTCGCCTTGAACAGTAGCGTGATTATCACCCATGCTTCACTGGCAAAAATATCGTTCGGTAAGTTCTCAGCCTCTTGAGGTTCGCATATGTACTTATTTAATAGTGAGAGGATCACGCGTATTGTCAGTCCACGTAGTTAGGTCTGTTATGTCCAGTCCCAGTGGCTTTTCCACTTTGAGATCAAAACGCCTCGTCTGAGGTCAATGTTTGATAGGCAGTATGTACACTCAAACTTTGCCTATACAGTATGGTAGTCAGAGCCGTTTGAACAAAGCTCTGGCGCAAATTGTTGGAGACGGCAACTTTGCAATCCATGGGGTTGGTTCTCTCAACCTTCGCATGCCTTCCTTTCATGATATACTGACAAACACACAGTATGTTGATAACCAATGGTACTTCCAGACCTCGAGGTTATTGAGTCCCGTGAGTCAACGATGAATCGTTTGAGACGTTCCAAGTAATGACTATGATATAGGCCGAAATCGCAGCGGTGAAAGCCAAGATGAAAGGTCATGCAAGTAGGAGGAGATGAAGGCAGAACAGATGAATTTATGGCCAACGTAGACGAGCATCATGGGGCTGGTAACCTACCTCTTCGTTTTTCGGATGCTCAGTACTTTATCTCATCATACACATACATACATGCATCGTCGAGCCTTTAGCACATCTTTTCTCTCAGTATGAAAGTAAAAGTTGAACTCCGTAATGTCTATGTGATCAGTGACGCTGTATTGATCAGATATCTTAGGTAATCTGCTGGTGCATACAGTCTCCGTTTGAGAGCGATGAGCATAAGACAGCCTTATTGTTTGAGAGGAGAGTCATCAAGAGGCGTAAGGTATGTCTTGAAAGAGTTGATACGAGAGTACCTAAAAGCTGATGGTGATATTATTTTCATGAGAAGTCATAATGAATATGTCCAATCTCGACAAAAGCAGACACCTGCTGCGACCACCTAGAATGGAGGGGGCTTCCCGAGCCTGCCCAAAGAACCGATAAGGTACCTTCCACGCCTGAGATATCGATACAAGGCTCCTGAGCCAAACGCGAGTGACCTTAACAGTTTCGTTTGATCTCTTCGATCGTAAGATGATACGGCGTGGTGACGCTATAGAAATTATTGCGCATCTGCTCATTATCAGGGCTCGCCCACGGGGAATCGGGGTCAGACCATGGGAATACCTCTACTGTGTAGTAGTCGTCAAACTTCCGATCAAGAAAGCTCTCCAGTTTGGCTGGATTCACAAAGCGTCCTGGGATTTTTGCTGTAAAGCGAGCTCCCGACCAGGATTGGTAGGATGTCGGCGAAGACCTCATTGCCGATGATGATGAGTATGCTCTCGGAGTGGGCATGATATCAGAATCGACTTCAATCGCTCGAGACGGCTAAGGATGATTATTACTTGAGCGGAAGCCCTCTGGGAGAGGTGGAGATGCCGGGTCCAGATACTACTTATAGGATGCAGAATCTGTAGCCTGATGTACCTTTTTGAAACTGGCCGAGAATGTGCGAAGGCGCGCGGTGCGAACCACAACAAAATGCAACTTGATGCATCAGAAGGCAGCCAGGCAACCCGCTAAGCCACCCCCAACCAATGTGCGCATTCACATTCTGCAGGCTATCACTTGCCGCTCAAAGACATGCCAGGGGGTGCAGGGTAAGAGTTGGCACATCGAGTCCATCCCGGCAATGCCTCGACAATGTATCATTAGTGCCAGTAGAAAGAATGCCTCGCCGGACTCCCATGCGCTGATAAAAGTGATCAGGCTCCGGGGATTTCGGGGCCTGATACGTGTGTCATGTTATCAGTACCTCCCACCCATTGAGCGCCCATCCAGGACTCGGCAACCTCACTGTCCAGGCCCTTTTGCCTCTTGTTCGTCATTTGCCGCATACAAGCACGCGTAGGCCAAAACATTGAGTCAGAGTCACCTGTCTGGAACACATGCTCCAACTACCTTAGCCATCGGTGCCTATCGCACCTACCAGTCATAGCGGGTAGTGCCCAATCATTCCCGATCCCTCGACGAAAGCCTGCCAGGATGTCTCAATTCGACTTTGGACGAGTAAGTTGACAGCAAATATATCTATCACTATTTCTTACAAAGACTCTGAAACTAATGTAACGATCAAAGGAGTTTCTCAATGACTTCAATCCGGAGAGGAGCTTGGAATTCTACCCCGAAGGCCGTCGTCCTCCAAATGTCGTCCGCGAACAATCAGATGTTTCGATTACGACAAAGTCTAACAATTACAACTACGGCATAGACCTAGTCGAAGAAAACAACACTGCACTACTCTGGTCACAGCCAGATGCTATGTTCCCTGGCTTTGTGGGCGGCGCATTTGAGCCACACGGCGAGCCGAGCAATACCGATGCAGATCTACAGCTAGAGAACGAAATCGGAATGGGGGCGGCAGAAGCCATGTGCGAACAGATTCACGAAGCGATGCAGTCCACCGGGCCTACACACTCGAGACCATGGCTTCCCTCTGGTGACTTGCACGCTATCAGCCACCGGAACCGTGTCAGTGCCGTACTTCGACAACACTTCTCCGAGCCAACGCTGGGTCGCCTTACTGATTACGTCTGCGGCACTGAAACGGGCACACACAAGGGAGGTGACACAAGTCAAAGGATCTTCGTCATCCTGGTTCTGATCCGCAGAATTGAAACGTTACCGGCGCTCATGAAGGATGGTTTACGCGATCGTGACCTGCCTTTTGAGTGGCTCAACCCTGTATCTCGGGATCAACTCATTAGTCCAAAGTCTCAATTTGCGAACAAGGCTCTTTCTTGCTTCGAAAGAAAAGGAAAAGGATTACTGAGAGAGTTCTATGAAAATCAGTGGAAGATACTTGCTCCTATTATTGATCGCGATAAAAACGGAGAAGTGACGACGTTTCACTTGGCTGAAGAGGTCATCATGCCCTGGACTTTCATTGGGGATGAGAGAAAGGAGGGAAGTTTCTCTATGGTCCGCAAAGTTGAGATACACCAAGATCATCATTCTTTTGTGAGTATTGCCCTTAACTACCTAGTATCTGGAGCCCTCACAATTATTTCAGACTTTACTAAGCTGGATGAATTGCAGCACAATCACAAAGCATTCGCCCTGAAAACCCTGCTTCAAACAGACCCTGACCAAGCAGAGGATGAATTCGAGCAAGAGCTCAAGGCCTTTACCAAAATGGAACCGGGAGACCACATTCTTGATCTTTGCGCGACTTTCAAGATTGGAGACAAGTACTCCTTCTTGTTTCCCTGGGCAGAGGGGGGCAACTTAAAGCACTTTTGGAACAAGTGCCCTACACAGGTGCAAAAGGGCGCCCGCCAACCTGACATACTCCTGCGTTGGGTGGCCAAGCAATGCCATGCGCTGGCAGCGGCTCTACAAAGCATCCACGAGGTTCGTGTGAAAGCACTCAAACGAGCAAACCGAATACACGAAAATGAAGACACTGACAGAGACATCTACGGAATCCACGGCGATATCAAGCCCGAGAACATTCTGTTGTTTAATCACCTGGACAAACCACTGGGTATCGGCACGTTGAAGATTGCCGACTTTGGCCTCACAGAGTTTCATAGGCTCACATCGCGAACGCGGTCGTTCAATCATGGTTCCGATGCTCGACAGCCTGCACCTACCTATGAAGCGCCCGAGCTTGTGCAGCTTGGGGAAGTGTACTCCAGGAAGGCTGATGTGTGGGCCCTGGGCTGCGTCTTCTCTGAGTTCTTGACTTGGGTTGTTCGTGGGCACTTGGCTGTAGGGGAATTTGGACAAGCCCGTGCTATGGAAAGAGATTGGGACGACTCTAAGAAGCGGTTCAGATGGGCAGAAGATAAGTTCTTCGTGGCAACTTATAATGATGGCGGAGTTCCCGGAGCGGTCCGAACTTCTCTGAAACTTGCCGTGGACAATGTAAGTTCTGACTTTTCTGTTGCTCATCTAGATTCGACATTGTCAAGGTACTTTACCTACTTTGTCAGGGCCCGCTGACTGAGATCAACATAGTGGCTTGATGAACTCTATCAAGAATCAAAGACCGAGGAACCAAACTTCCTCACAGACTTTCTAGACCTACTGAGGCATAACGTCCTTGTGTGCGAGAGAGACAACAGAATCAGCTGCGAAAGGCTGGTAATGGAACTGGAAAAGTTCGCTTCCAGAGCCGGCGAAAGCCGGTCAGATGATCCGTACTGGAGGCCACCTTTACCATCATTCCGACAAGGTTTTCCGAAACGAGGAGAGGCTTCGAACGGCATTACTGGACGGCGGGTGGCCTTTGCTCATCAATCTTCTGCCAGCTCGAACAGCTGGATATGTGTCGATGATACCAGCGTACGATCTGGTACAACTGAGTAATGAGTAGCTAAAGTATAGAATAAAGTTGGTATGGTTGATTGAGATCGGTTCACAACAATCCAATTCTACGCTGATTCCGCTGGCGAGACCGAAATCCATGGTCTTTCCCTCATTGTACGTATTTCAAGTACTAGAATAAACGTAGATGTAATTAGACAGTATATCATCTTTATTTGAAAAGTTTAGAGCATTCATATGAATTTCTTATCCAGAATTCCTATTCGTTGAAATGTTTTAGTTGACTTGGTATTATTTAGTACTGTGTACATGTCCAAATTCATCAAACATGGGAATCCCAATTTGTACGTGCACAGTAGCTGGGCTTCTAAAGGCAATAGAAGTACTATGTAGCAAGCTGTCACAGATCCTTCTTCAAGTCGTGTTCCTGTTGTTTTCATCGTCAGCAATTAAGAACCGTGGCAGCCCAGGACAGTGATGTCGTCTGAAGCCTGCGTTGATTGAGTCAACAACGAAGAAGCGCCGAAAAGACCTACAGGTTTATGATCCGTCTCATAGTCGACGTGAACAAATGCTCTCTCTACTCCGGGCAACTTCTCAATCTTGATTTGGAGACCCTCGGCCACATCATGTGCGATTTCGAGCCTTTCATGACGGTCCATGACGACGTCAATCTCAACGATGTATCGCGGTCCGCTGTGATACGCGCGAACGGTGTCAATCTGCTTGACCTCGGGCGAATGAGTCATAGCTAACATTCTGTCAGTTCTCATTCTCAGATCTCATTGACTAGAAGTTGATATCAGCTTACCGATGTAGGTAATGAGCTGCAAGAACTCGGGCTCAGCAGACACCCCAATCAACAACTGAAACTCCTCATACGCAGTCCTCAACCACAATCCCGCAATCAAAAAAGACAACAGAATGGCGCCCATAGGATCGATCCACCACTTGATCTTGCTTCCAGCCGAAAAGGTAAAGATACCGAATCCGTTGATAAAGAGGTCGTTGCGGTGGTCGCGCCAGAGAATCTCAACCTGTGAGTAGATATCCTTGATGGACCAGCAGTACAACCAAAGACAAAACTTCGTTCCAAACGCAATGGCGACGGCAATGACGGAAGTGAAGTGAAACTCGTTGGTCTCCTCCTCAGATCCAGCAGCCAAGTCCCGCGCCGACATGACAATCAGCACCAGCGAGACGGAGAACATGATGAACGAGAAGACGATATTTCCCGCCGTAGAGATGCGAGATTTGCCAGAGGGGTACTTTTGCGTATCAACCTTCTTCACCGCGCGATGAGAAAGCAGCAACAGGACTCCCGACAGCGGATCAAAGACAGAGTCAGCCATGGTGGTGAACAACGACAGCGAGCCAGACGTGATCGCAGCATAAAGCTGCAGCGCCGAGAGAACAACATTGGCCGCCAAGCTACCCTTCACAGCGATCTGATACTTGAGGTTATTATCACCCTGCGTCTCCTTTGCCTCGCGCTCGTGGTCGTCTACGCTCTTGAGATAGGAGCGGATCTTGTCGTTTTGGGCGCGATAAAAGTCTTGCAGCTTTGCGTCTTTGGCGCCGCCGCGGGTGAAGCTGTGGTGGATGAAGCGTCTTCGCGTGGTGTTGCTGTTGTTTCGAGGCTTGTTTGTGTTGTATGCAGATTTGAGTTGGATTATGTCGGCGTCGGATTTGATGTGTGTGCCAAGGTTGTAGGGGTCGTTGATCTCGGAGGAGGAGAAGGAGCGGGATTCTGGGTCGTTGCTGGGGGAGAGGTTGGCGAGGTCGATGCCTGTGCTTGGGGCACGGTGGGTTGTGGTTGTGATTGTAGACATTATGGGATGAAGGATGAATCCTCTTGAGAAACGAGAGGTATGATCTGTCACCACGAGCTCCCAATGCTGTGTTGAGCTGAACTGTCTGAGTGGTCCTGGAATATCAAAAAGAATTAAGACGAGGATGTGGGATAATAAGGCAGGGAAAGTTGAGGCGGGTAAGCTTCAAAGGGATGGAAAGTCCAGTCGGGCCCGACCAGGGAGGTAACCTACACTAGGGCAACTTTTGACGAAAGCGAAATGAGTGAGGGATATTTGAAGCGAGCTGACGGCGCATCATTCGTCTAAACATCCCCTCGTGCTCTGTCCCTTCGGCGCTAGACAGGGATGAGCTTGGGGCGAAATCGGTTAGCTACGCAAGATGATCTCGACGAGCTACCTGACTTGGTATGGCCTGGCGGCAAACTTTTGCCGCTGCGCCTTGGGGATGACGGGATGCTTGTTTGCTGACATTTGCTCGCCGTTGATTGCCGCAACGTTCTTGCCAAGAGGATCTGCCTGTACGTTGTCAACTGTGTGTGGGTGCACGGCAAGTGCGAGGAGAAACATAGGTGGGAAGAGAGGCTAACCCAGAGACCGGCATAATGACGCAGTCCCAGACCTATGGATAATTTGAAGTTCGACTAATGGCGAGATGCGGACACTTGTTCACACCTTCATTGAGGACTGGGATAAGCTTCGACCGCATATGCCAAAACTCTTTATCTGTTGAACATACTTTCCAGTCCGGCAAATCTCACGGAGCATCGCGATACACGGTTTACTTCACGACATCTGTGATCAATGTCTATGCTCGGCTCTACAGCAGCATCCCGCCTGTCTTTCGATGCAGCCTTTTTCCAAGGCCAAAACCAATCCTCATTCCTTCCAAACGCCAGGCCAATTCCTAGAAGCCATCAATCCATGTTCTCGTGCAAATCGTTTGTAGTAGTCACCATGTGATACCATGCTAATCCACCCCCAAAGCCCGAAAAAGAAATCCTAGGAAACATGTCATAATACTGGTCGACAGTCCATCCAACTTCAAATAGGCGAAGCATGTCCGTTGGCCGTGCCGTTCGTCGGAGGACCATTGGCTCTGGATGCTATGGTGAGCATCTGCTTGAACCTAGGCCCCAGCGCCTGGATAACCGCCTGCACATCTGGCGCTTCTGGTAAAGAAGACAGATTCATGTCGCGGACGGCCGCAATGATCTCGCCAGCATCACTTGAAGCAGAACCCCGCTTGCCTTGTGTCGGCGCCAGCCCCTTGACGTCTTTGCCCAACCGCACCGGACCGACGGGCCTCACAGGCGTAATGAGGGTATCATCCATCAGGTTCTGCCACCGTACCAAGTAGACACCCGGGCCAGCCATACTCGTCGAGTTGCCCTCGATGATGGTCTGCATGCGCGTCAAGGACAGTCGTTCTAAGTCCCGTAGGTATGCAGCGTGAGCGTCGATGATGGGAAGGAGGGCCGCTCTGCTGTTATCGGGAACCTGGTTGAACATGTCACCCAGCTGCTCCTCGATGCTCGCGCCGCCATTCTTAGTCTTATGGAACGCAACCAGGGAGTTCTTTGCCCACTCCCTGAACTGATCCATGACTTCTGGGCATTTGCCGCCCACAGCGTGCAGCCACTTGTACAAGAGATGCTTATTGTCCTTGCACAGCTTGACGTAGTCCTCCACCGTGGGCATAGTCTCCGTATCATCCTTGTTCTTCCCCTTCTTTGGTTTGCTGCAGGCGATCAGCTGGTCGAGGAACATGTGGTAGTCCCTGACATGGTCTGAGAGGTCGACCTTGTTGTGTACGGCGCGGATAATGGGATCCATCCCGGCTACTGCCTCGCGGACTGCCTGGGTGAGGTAGTCTGGGCTCTGCCTGCAAAGAATGCTGATGATTTCCTCCCGATCGCGCATAGCCAGTAGTGCTGCGTAGTATTCTAGGCACATTGTGTGCTCGTCCTCGCTGAGGTCGGAAAGTAGGATGGGGTTTGCGGTCTCGAGGATGACGGCGATGATGGACTTGTCTTGTTGCGCGCTCATGGCTCGGATCACTTCGCGTTCGGTCGGAGGGGATTGAGTGTGGGCCTTGATGGCATCTAGAGCGCCTTTACTTGGCCTGTTCTTGTCTTTGGCGATTCTGTCGATCGTCTTCTTGAACTCTGCGCAGTCCCAGCCGAGGATGACGGAGATGATCCTGCAGCTTTGTTAGTCTTAATGTTTATCTAGGTAGGAGGGCCTCAGCTCAAGGAATTCGAACCTCTGCATAAGATTCATGCCATCTGCAGCATCCTTTGTTATGCCAAACCAGTTCGAAACCGAACCGACACTGAGCTTGGCCAGAAAGATTTTCATCATGCCAGCGATCATTGTCGCAGCATTGCCGACCTTGAGTGTCTGCCGTACCATGTTGTATGGCACCATCTTGTGAACTTGCTCCATAAGCTTGACGAGGTACTGGCCCTCAGGTGAGACAACCAGCACTTGGTGGGCAAGTCCAGCCAAGCTGTGAGTCCGTGTTAGTCACTCTAACTTCTCCAAGTCGCCTTCGCACAGAGCAATACTCACTGGAAAATGATGTACTCGTTCGCCGCCTGGGTCATTGGAGAGTGTGATTCGAAGTCGTCCGTCTCGGCAAGGTGGTCAAGTAAGCTGTCGCAGAGGTCCCCGTAAACGAGGTCATGCATAGCATCATCCCAGGCCTGCGCCAGGTCTTCCGCTCTGTTCAGATCGTACTGCTCAAGCCGCGTCGAGGGGTCGCTATAGGGTCCGCCACCAATCATGCCACGCGCGACTGTCTCGATGACAGTGGATGAGGCGGTCGCCAGGGTCTTTCTAGTACCCAGCGTGCCCTTCTCGTAGCTCTCGGACAGCTCGGCCTCGGCAAAGTTCTTGAGGATCCCCTGAACTCGGACGTTCCAAAACTCGGGAACAAAGGAGGAGACGCCCGGTAGCTTCAGGATAAATCTGGTGAAGAGAGACTGTAGGAGGGGCGCCGAGGACTCTGGGGCATAGGTGACGGCCTCGCTGGGCTTGGAGCTCTGCGCAAAAGGGTAGCCATAGTCGGAAATGGTCTCTGGCTTCTTGAAGTCTTCGATCTCGTGGTAGGTCTCGAAATGGGTGAGGATATTGAACAGAGCCTTGATCTGCTCGGCAGTGAGGCCTGAGGGCTGTTGGGTCGCCATGACGGGAATTCACAATGGCGATATGCCCAGGGCTGTCTATCGCTGGAGCTTCCTCCGACTCTTGTGTGCTCCTGAAGATGTCGATTATGTGGTGAGTTGAAGCAGCAACAGAAGAATTGTTGAAGATATTTGGTCGACAATCCAAGTCGACGATGTGAAATATTTCCGTACGGAGGCAGGAGCCAAGTGGTCGCGGCTTCCAGCTGAGGTCAAAAAGATGTTGCGTTTCTGGAAGGTCCCCGCGATCGTGTTCGGTCACCGGTGCTCCGGTTGAATTGTGGATCACGGGTACGTGACGTCACGAGACTTAACAGTATGTCACTGGTTCGTTTTTCTTCAGAATTCGTGCAGAGGTAGGGGAGGGGCGGGGAATATTCACCACTTAAAGATCTTAACAACGTCCTCTTTCATACGTCGATTCTGTGAATAGAAACAGTGAACAGACCGCGGGAGTCGCCGTGTCAAGTGTCAGTGTCTCCAGTGTCTCTGTCCTGCCCCTGTCGGCTTTGTCTGGGCGACCCTCCTTTCTTATTCGGCAATCTGCAGCACCTTGCATCAGTGCAGATTCCCAGATCTGACTTGACTCTTTCCAAGCATCTGATTTTACGAATACTGCATTGCCTCCTGCCACGGCTCTCTTCCTATTGTCATGTATGGCATGTGCGCCAGTGGTATTCCCGAGGCATAGCAGAGCATATGCAGGCTCAGCTCAGCCCACATCAGCTTCCCATTACTTGCATGTATCAAGCAGAGTACGTGTCATTCAATGCCTTCTCACACAAGTTTCGTTCGTTATCTGAAATGATTGGATGCCTCATCACATCCAGCTCCCTTAGACTGTGGAAAACTACTGGCCTTGGCTGGGGAAAATAACCTATTGTGGCTGAGTAAACTCACTTTAGCTAAGCTTCTTCTGCAGTGCGAGGATTAGAAGCTGTTCCACATCTCTAGCAAACAGCTCAACGGATGATGCCTTCTCGTTTATCCGAACATGCTAGATGATCTCATTCTACACCATTTTCAGTCACACACTCGAGTCCGGCTCGGTGCGCTCATGGGCTCAATCTCATGTTCGTGTTTATTACCCACTTCAAAATGAATATTCACCTCGTGTTCGGTCCCCCGGCCGGCATCTTCCCCCGGCATAAATGCGACCCTCAAAGACCCCGCAACCGAATGCGCCGGGTTTCAATCCTGTCGTGGCAAAAGTCAATGTTTGCCCCCCACACCGGGAACACGTCCGAGGGGCACCCGAGTCAAAGCACGAGCTCAATGCCCAAACAGGTAATCGTACCAATGCCATTTCAGGATCCTCGGTCTTTCCTATGACGGCCAGTCCCGTACGACTTCACTTTGTGCGTCTAGACCCAAAGATTCGGGTTTGACGTCGTCGTTGATAAAGATTTTCACTCGGAAGGTAGCATGATGTCAAGGTACTAATAGGGTAATATTGCCTCATGAAAAAGCCTGTGGTAATAGTAAGGACTGGAGATCGCGATATGCTCCAGCCCATCTTAAGAGACGATAATCAACCATTTGGAATCGATAGTCGGACTCGCAATCGGACGGCACTGAACTCGATAGCTATCCGCTTTCCGCATGTCGCAATCTGTCAAGCAGCTCATCTTTCAAGATCGGGCCGCGTCACACTGAAGCTGTCAAATGGATCCGAGGGCGCTTCAATTGAGGTCAAAGCAACAGGACCGGATCCGACCCCGCGATACTCTAAGCAGTTCAATACTTTGTCATCAGCTTGTATTTTCTGGATTGCCTCGGAGGCTATGATACATGTACTCTGGGTTCTTATGTTTGGCAGTGATTTATCACGATGTATTTCGCAAGGTAATTAATCGCACGTTCAGACTCTGCATCCTACACCAGTAGTGGTCGCTCTGAGCTCATCTCACTCAGTGTGAGATCTGAGTGAGATGAGCTCACGAAACATTTAGATGAATGAGTATGAAGCGCCTCTTATCAAATGAAGCACAAACAGTCTAAGCAGCTCCGGGTGCAGCGGAACTAATTAACCCCGGATCAGACGGACCCTTACCCCGATCATCTCCCCACGGAGTCAAGATCCATCTGCCCGGGTTCACTCGGCAAACGGTCAACCGAAAGCCTACTCAATGGTAGACTCGGCCCCTGTTGGCCCGAATCAAAAACCACTCACCTTCTTCCCACGAATAAGGAGCGCTTCAACAGACGCTATTCAATCGCTTTCCCACTTGTGCGCAAATTGAGCAGCGGGTTTTCAGTATTCATCTAGCTTAGCGGTCCCGCCGTTGTGTCCTTTGCCTCGAAATGACCCCTGGTTTACGCGGGGAAATGCCCAGCTTTTGGGCTTGTCAGTTCAGTCTGGTGCGGGGAGACAGGATGGCATCCCTGGCTCTAGGTGCCGAGATCCGCTGTCAATGACACCCTCGCCATGGGAAGAGGAATAATAAAATGAAGCTATGCCTTCGTGACCTTGCTTGGTGAGACAGCTCGAAAGACCTCGCGCCTGTCTCTACCAACATAGCCCTCTCCGTCTGGACGAGAATAAGTCGACCATGAAGTTTTCTGCAGTTTCCCTCCTTCTGGGAGCTGGTTCAGCGCTCGCAGCACCCACGGAGCGTTCCGATATCGACGACCGACAGGTACTCTGGCTTGCTGGCGACAGCACGATGGCACCAGGCGGTGGACACAACGGGACCCAGGGATGGGGAGAGTACCTGCACTACTCTCTCGACTCGTCAAAGATCCGAGTCAATAACTCTGCGTATGCTGGGAGAAGTGCGCGCACTTTTACGAGGGAGGGCCGGTTCCAGCGGATCATTGACGAAGTCAAGGCTGGGGACTGGGTTGTGATTGAGTTTGGTCACAACGATGGACGTACGTATCTGAACTGCATCGATTCTCACTCCCCAAGTATCAAAAACTCTAACAGAATTCTAGCTGGCAACCCGATCAACGACACAGTCAAGAACCGAGTCGACTGTCCCGGCATTGGAGACAATGTCTGTCCTGTGCTTTTCAAGTACGTCCATAGATATTGAGAACGTCATGTTTCCCCCTAATGATGACGATCTAACTATGTGTCTTTAGCAACCAAACGGAAGTAGTGCAGACATACACTACCTACCTTCGCAACGCCTCCTCAACTTTCCTCTCCCTCGGCGCCCGCGTGGTGATCTCAACCTCAACCCCCATAAACCCTTACTCGACCGGCACATTCTCTTGGACGCCGACCATCTACGCGTGGTACTCGTGGTACGTCGTCGAATCCCTCGGCGGACCCGCAGCCGGTATCTACTACGTTCCGCACGGCAACTACAGCGCCCAGGCCCTTCAGGTGCAGGGCCAGCAGGCGGCTGTCGAGGGTTATCCCATGGATGCCGTGCACATGTCGCCGAAGCTGGCGGATTCGTTTGCTGGGGCTTTCGTGTTGGGCCTCAAGTGCGGCACGTCGCCGCTGCAGGAGTATGTTGTTAATGCGACATCGAGACTGGAGGGGGGTAGACTGGGAACTTGCCTCCAGGTTAATGCGACGCTGCCCATTTAATATCCCATAGAACCCATAAGAGAAGGTTTATGTTCACATCTGGTTTTTGATGGCAGAGTGGTGTCAAACTACAAAAGATCACATTTACCACTTATGAAAGTTGATCAGCCAAAAGACGAACAACTCGATTGATCGAAAATTTGGGATCTGTGAAGTTTCGAAGTAGACCAAGGGCCCAGGTACATAAATAATGCAGTAAATCCCCTGTACAATCACTATACACGTATCACTGGCTGCATGATTGGAAACATAGACGGTGAATCTGGACCTACAAGTTCACATCTGCTGACTGAGTTCGCGAAGAGAAGTTTAATTCTAGCGGCGCAGAAGACTGATACTAAACTTGGAATGTAAAATCGCACCCGCTTGCCAACAACTTATGAAAAGAGTTTTCGAAAACCGTAGATCAGTCTACTTACCGTCGCAACCTATTTCCACTACTGAGATGGAGCAAAGCCATCCTCAGAGTCGGAACCATACTCCATATCAGCGACTATATTAGAGACATTGACAGTAGGTTCAAGGTGGTAGGCCCTCTGGCAACTAGAGCAGCAAACCAGTTGAGTGCGGCAGTCGCGCTGAATGGTCTGGCATCTAATGCCGTTTCTGTATGACGGGCAGTAGACGAAGTCGGACTGGGACGAGCTGATAGTGCGGCCGCACTGGCGGCACTTGGTGACGTTGAGGATGTAGTTGCACATGGCTGCGATGTAAACTGAGTTGTGAGTCTGTTAGTTCGATCGATGCTTGAAGCTGCTAATGTCAGATGAAGAATCCTTGTGGAACGTTGAGCTGAAGTTGAGAGTGTTGCGTTGAAATGATGGGTTGAAAATGGTTGCAGGAAGCTTCAAGAGCTAGTCCATAGTGGCACTTTTATCGTTTTCAGTCGGCAAGTTGATGTTGCCTGTCGTCTTTTACCAGCACTCATGGGTGCGAAGAAGTCTTGTTCCATGGATCAGTCTGACACCTTAGACTAAGCCATTGTCAACTGTCTCTTCTGAAACAGGACAGTGACCTAGAGCACCTAGGCTGAATCAGTCTTTCCGAGTTGTCTCCTTCAAACCTGTCCTAAAAATCTTTTTAGGATAATTTCTGTGTTCTCGGGTCAAAGAACACGACAAAGGAGGGCTTCACCGCAGACAAGGTATCCTGATCAAGGAAATTTTAAATCGGGCCAAGGTTCTCCTCAGCCAAGGAAATGTCCACACGGCATACTTAATTTAACACATGCAGTAAGTTATTATAAGGTAGAAAAGACTGTGCTTGAAATTTCGCATCCGAGAGTATCACAGATAAGAGGCTCGACTTGGTCAAATGTTTGGAGGTATGGTCTCGAAGAGGAGCGTTTGCTCGGTATGAATGGTATTTGTGGGACACAAACATCGCCAAGACTTGCTTTCTCCGAACTGGGCCTCGCACGCGCATCTTCAATGTAACATCATTTGCAGCCAGACCGTCG